GACCCAGAGGGATCGGGTGGAGAGGGAGGTGGGAGGGGGGACTGGGATGGGGAATACATGTAAATCCATGGCTAATTCATATCAATGTATAACAAAAACTACTGTAATGATGTAAAGTAATTAGCCTCCAACTAATAAAAATTTAAAAAAAAAAAATAAAAAAATAAAAAATAAAAAAGTGATGGTTGTATTTTACCACTGTCTTACTATTTAGAGATAAACATTTAGTTGTTTTCCTAAGAAAGATAAGTATTGAATGCATTATTTTCAGCCTTCATTGATTATTAAAAAGTGTTTCCTCCTGCAAAAAAAGTAAAGATGAAACAGCAATATTAATTTATAGGACATAATAACAAGTTTTCTCATTTTTCCTTCCTGCCAATTGCATTACAAAGGCATACATTTGTGGGCTCTCTACAATTATGTTTTCAAATAATAATAACATAAATGAAATAGTTATAAAATACACTGTAAGTTTCCATTTATTTGCCTATAACAAACTCTCATCTGTCCTGAATGAAATGTTTTAGCAATGATTAGGGATCATTCACAAAAATGTTTCTAAAGTAATTTTAGAATATTGATGCAAAAATTATTGAACACTTAAAACATTTTGCCTGAAGTCTCAGTGCACTGCTACCATCAAAACTGAGCATGTTTGCGCTCCAGTGGTTTGTGTATTCAGAATACAGGTAAAAGTGAAGAGCCCAGAGTTCTTTCACTAAAACCTAAGCTAAGGATACAGATTGAAGAGCAAGAAAAATACACGATTTACTGTATCAGCTGAAAAATAATTCAACGACAAAAGATACATATTTTATACATTTTGAAATATTTTCACATATATTTTATCCTTAAAAGTCACTAGGTGAGAAAAAAACATATCCACTCTACAGATAAAAGCAGGGAGGTGGAGAACCAGTGTTAGAGCTCAGATTCTCTGATATTTATGAATACTATTAACACCTTCCTTTGCCATCACTCTACCTCTACATAAATGGACTATAAAAATATAAATAACAGATAAAGCCATTAGCATTTATTTACTAAAATACGGTCAATGCCTGGTAATGGTAAATAAGTAATACTGCCATCTCTTTATTCATGAATGAAATCTGCTAGAAAAGGAAGATTTTCTATGCAGTGACAGAAATACTAGCAAAGAAAATCATGTGTTATAATATTTATAATGATTGACATACAGAACTCTAAGAAAAAAGGGGAAACAATGAAAATATGTTGACATACTCAAAGGCTATTTGCATCCTCAAAACACATCTGAGATAACTATAACGGGTTGTCTATAAATTAATCAGTTTTAAGAAGTATTACTTACATATTAGTATCAGTAATAGTAAATATAATGTAATACATTCAGTTTCTATATTTGACAATGAAAGATGCTATACAGTCGGTCAGTGAATAACACAGGTTTGAACTTATACAGGTACACTTCTATGTGGATTTTTTCCAATAAATATGTACTACAGCATTATATTATCAGCGAGGTTGGCTGAATCCTAGGATGCAGAACAATGGATGTGGAAGGTCAACTGTAAAGCTATATGCACATTTTCAACTGTATGGGGCCAGAGTTCCTAACCTCCTGTGTTGTTCATGGGTCAACTGTACATAGTAATCCTTATTTAACAATACATAGGTGTTGAAAATCAGACAATTGGTAGTGACTTCAGAATGATGGTGGACAGGGAGAACCAAGCCCTTGTTCCTCATGGAGGCACCATTTTAATGACAGCATGTGGACTAGAATATTTCTGGGACAACCCTGAACACCATGAAAGAAGCTGTAGCACGAGTCCCATGCAGAATGAAGCAGGAACTCCATCAAAAGAGACAGGAAAGTTTGTAACTTTTTACATGGCTCATACATGGCATGTGCAGGTCTCTAACCCCTGGGTTATTCAATGATGAACTGTAGTAAAGATGGTACATTTTATTTTTTTAACCATAAAAACTTAAAACTCAGACAAAAGACTTTTTGTTACTTACTTGTCCTCTTAAAAAATTCAAGGTGCTCTTTGATCGAAATAGTTGTCTGGATCCTGTATCTCCCTTTTCCCCATAGACAGAAATGTAAATGTTTGCTACTGTTCCGGCATTCCAAAGTTCACCTGTTGCCACGTGCACTTCATACACTGTCACTGACAACAACAACAACAAAAAACAAGCCTTACTGCCAAGCACCGGAAGATCCCCTGGAGAATGAAATGGCAACCTGCTCCAGTATTGGTGCCTGGGAAATCCCATGGACAGAGAAGCCTGGAGGGCTACAGTCTGTGGAGTCACAAAGAGTCAGATACGACTGAGTGACTAAACAACAACCATCACTCATATGATAGAAAAATTGCACATTTCTAATCAAGAGCTCCAGGTCCAGGTTAGATGGAGCAACATACCCCACTCAGTCTCTCTCACTGAATACAGCTACAAAATCTTGACAGAATGCATGCAGCAGCTATATGAAGGCTCTGAATAGTAAATAGTAGCAGGAGAATGGGGATTTAGCAGAATTATGTATTTATGTATATATAACATTTGCTTATATATAAAATAATTATAGCAATGATACAGTGGGTAAAAGGGGAAGAATATTTATTTTGTCAAAAGGTATTAAGAAGATGGCAGAGGAATAGGATGGGGAGACCACTTTCTCCCCCACAAATTCATCAGAGGATCATCTGAATGCTGAGCAACTTCCACAAAACAACTTCTGAATGCTGG